ACTCCACTGACTGCCCAGAAGTCAATGGGACCGCGTGGGCTGTGTGGTCACCTGTAGTTCCACCTGCGGCCGTCGCAGTCCTGCAGCATCCTCTCCAGAGAGCCGCTGTATCTGCAGACAACAGATCATGCGCAGGAGCAGAGAACAGCAACTATAAATAGCAATACTTGATATCTAGGATAAGGGTTTTTCAGAAGTGAATTCTCTGTGGGGCAACGGACTGGCGCAAACACTGCAGATAGGCGGCCTGCGTCGCACAAAAAAACATACGCACACAAGGAGTCCACTGTTCGAGAAGAGATATCCCTACGCCGCATCACTGCTGGAGCACTGTCAGGACAAGCGGCTACACAGAACAGGTGCTCATATACAGTAGAAGAGCGCTCACGAGCTCCGTGGCGCAGGGGAGGTCTTCTTCTGGCCCGAAAGTTCGCGGCATCTGCTGCTGGTGCTGCTTCTTCTCGGGGGCCGTAGCTGAGGTGGTCTGACCCATGCTGCGCTTTTTGAAGACCGGCAACGCTGGAGCCTCAACACCCGAGCAACAGTTGCCTGGAATGCGCAGCGAAAGCGCCAAGTATCAGCGCCCAAACCCGCTGAAGCACCGGCAACGCCAGAACAGAAGGAACAACAGTTCAACAGCGTAGCTTGTGTTACCTGGGTGTTCGGCTGTGTGTTTACGGGCCTCAACAGGTGGCGTCTGCCGCTCAGTGACAGTGTTGCAGACAACAGGGCTGCTGCAGCGGTGTCTGTTGCCACAATGAAGCCACTCTGACAGGTTAACCTGTTTCAATGCAACTACAGCAAGGCGTGGGAAACTGTTGATGCGGCTGCGTGCTGCTGTTGGAGATAGAATGAACGAGAATGCTGCGATTGGTGGATACCCGCCCTGCCCATCTGGCAGCCAGGACGGACTGCGCCGCGCGATAGGCAGGAACACCCGTTTCTACTTCAATGAAATACAGCAGTGGAGGGGTAACCAAACGGGCATTGCAGCCTGGGACCGGGATGCATGTGGTGGCGAGCAGCAACCCTCTCGTCTGCTGGAGACGCCGCTGCAGCGGTTGCTGCAGCGCCAGATACAACAGACCTTTCTAAAAAACAGAAGTTAACAACACTCGATGGAAGGGATTGTCTTGCAGTCTGTCTTCCTAACTGGGCTTGGGGCCCTCAGAGGTCCGCCGCAACAACACATGTAGCTACTGGGGGCTCGGATGGTCGCGCAGTNGGGCTTGGGGCCCTCAGAGGTCCGCCGCAACAACACATGTAGCTACTGGGGGCTCGGATGGTCGCGCAGTAGATAGTTTAGCGCTTCGACGACTCCGCTTGTCTTTTATTGAATTATATTGCACACGGTTTCTGCTTGAGCGGAGAAAAGGGGGGTGAGCACTACAACGGATTATCGGACGGCGGGGGGCCTCCACGCTCCGCCGAAACGTAGTGGGGCCCCGGCGGTCCCCAGACACAACCGAGACAGAGGCCGTTGCAGGTGGGACCCCGTCGACGTCTGCCAGAAGCCGATGCAACGCAGGCAGTTGGGGTGGCGGAAACCCTTGAAGCCGCCCCGGCGTACCTTCTAGCCGCAACTACAGTGCAGTGGGCTCCCCGGCTGCTCGGGGATCCCCACTTCTTAGCGGGTGTGGCAGCGGACGACTGACTGAAAAGCAGCAACGACGCATGCTGTACTTTCAAGTCTGCAGGGGTTGGGTCACTTCGCAGGGCACTTCGCAAACGCAGCAGCAGCAGCACGGCGGGCTAAGCGATCCAGGCAACATGTAGCGGATACAGGCACTATGAGGCAGCCTCTAGCCATCCGACTGCTGCTGCTGCTGCTGTCAACAACAGCGGGGTCAGCGGCAGTATGGCTTCACAGCTGCAGCAGGAGAGGGTTTACTGGTCCTGACATAGCCTGCAGCAAGAAGTCATCTGCAGTCTTGCTACCTCGATTGCCACGCCATACCCTTGCAGGGCTTCCTTATGCTGACGTACTGGAACAGAGAGCACCTGCAGCCACGACGGCAACAGCAGGAGTGCGGAAGCCCATCCAGCGGTCGTTGCAGCAACAAGCTGTCCTCATTTCACCGCGTGCATCCCTGCTGTCGCCCTCGGATGCTGTGGCTGGTGCAGCTGCTCTGCCGGCTGCTCCTTGTGACAGGCACGAGGCGCAGGAGGAAACAGACGCAGAACTCCATTCTGCCGTGGCAGCAGGTGATGATTTGTCTTTGCGGTCGTTGTTGTCTAGACAGCTACTTGTGTGGGGCCCAGAGCAGCAGAAGGTGTTGCCAGGCTCACGCGTACTGCTTATTGGGGCGGGTGGTGCGGCTGTTGAGGCCGCCAAATGCTTGTTGCAGTCGGGTGTTGGCTGCGTCTTGCTGGCGGACCCCGAAGAGCCGTCTCCTCAAGAGCGCGCTGCAAACTTTGCTCTGGCCGAGCATGCAGAGCAGCAGGAAGTTGCAGCTTCAGCGGCGGCCTCTTCTGCAGAAATTGATGTTGCTGAAGCTGGCGGTGCTGGGGCCAGGTCTCATCCGTTACGGTTTCCTCACGGACACCGGGTCGGCCTGTCTGCCCAACTGCTGGAAGCTCCTGAACAGCAACAGCAGCCGACAACCCGTATGACTCGAGCTGGAATTGCCTGCGCTTCTCTGCGGCGAGTCGGCGCCCCTTACGCTCGCGTGTCAGAGGTATCATTGCACATACAGCCGGGGGAAACTGCAGCTGCTTGGCGGGCGCGTGTGGAGCGCGTGCTGCAGCAAGTGGATGTGCTGCTACTATGCGATCGGCCTCTGCAGCAAAAGCTTTTTTACTCCGCCATGGCTCGACAACTGTGGTCCCGGCGAAAGGAGCAGCAGCTGCGCGGGCAGCAACAGGGAGGACAGGAACGGCAACAACAGCAGAAACCGCAGCCACAGAGACGCAAAGATGGCCCCCTTGTTGTGGCTGTATGCACAGCTGGACTCACCGGCCGGGTTGCCGTTGACTTCGGCGACTTCGTGTTTGCGAGAGTCAGCGAAGAGGCTGCTCTCACAGCCCTACTGCATAAACACGCGCAGCCCAAGAGACAACAGCAGCAACATCACCAACAACAGCAGCAGCAGCAANCGTATCCTAAGCAGGCAGTCGAAGGGCAACAGTCGCATGGCTTGCCAGATCCACCTGATCCGCAACAGCAGTACCTCATTGCTGCGTTTGAAGCCCTGGACGCAGCGGAGACAGAGGGACGTCGCGCGGGCGAAGAACCAGAGCGGATTCCCGCAGCAGACGAGAATACTGCTTCACCAGTAACAGCTGCTGCTACGACTGAGAACAGCAGGGAGGCAGATGCTTGTGCAGTGGCTGGAAGCCTCAGGAGCTGGAACGCCAGTCGTCTTCCTGCTGCCTCGCTCGTTGCAGCCCGTGCTGCCGCAATTTGGAAACGGCGCTATGGGCCCAGCGCGGCGAGCGCAGCGGCAGCGGCCGCAGCTGCCTCAGCAAGGGCTTCTCACCAGTCCGCCGCTGCAGTTACTGCTGCTGCAGAGGCAGCAGCTGCTGATGCAGTATCGAGGGGGGAAGCAGAGGCTGGGCGGGTTGGGGCGCTTATGGTTCGGGGGTCGCGAGGACACCTTGCGCCCATTGCAGCGGCAATGGGTACGTCAATGTTTTTCTGCTGCTTCCTGTTGTTGTGTTGCGTTCTGGATACGTTGGTTCTAGAACAGACGCAATGATGCTGCGTCATGTGTGCCGCTGCCCTTGCAGGTGCCCTGGCTGCGCAGGAGACCTTAAAGGGACTAACCCGGAAATACCGGCCTCTGGAGGGGCCGTTTGTGCTGCATGCGCTGGACCTGCTACGGCTCACTACACAGAATCAAACGGAACATGATGCAAACCGTGGAGGCAGCGACGGCAGGGACGGCAGTAGCAGCAACACTCGGGGTTGCGATAGATACCCGAGAGCGGTCTCCGCTGGCTCATCAGCGGGGAGTCGAACTTCACCTGCAGCGGCAACAGAACTAGGAACAGGTGGAGCAGAATCAGGAGACACCGCTAGTCTAGGAGCTTCCTGTGCTGCGGGCGGTGGCTCAAGAAATGCATCACCGAGGCGAGTGCCTTGGGAAGGGCAGCAGCAACTCCTAGGCATGGAACTGCAGCGCCGGCTAAGTCACCTGCGACTACT